CAGATCATAATTTCCCAATCACTTTGATCTGGTATAAGGCAGTCCTACCACTGACAAATACAGCCCTGCCTCCAGTCCCACGCCACTCACACTGGCATTCATGCTGCGCATAGTAAACAGGCTAAAGGACACACTCCCAGTTAAAACCACCTCAGAAAAGACACCCCAAAGAAACTAGCTGTAACCTGCACCATTTCCTACTCAAGCTTTTTGCTGGCACTCAGAAGGTAACAAGTTGCTAGACCTGGGCTCATCCACACTAATTTTGGCAACAGTATAAGCTCAGAATGACCAGGAAATGATGATGCTACGAGTGCAAGACACTCCACAGAAACAGCCTGCTACCCATCCTACCCTGTTCATCTGCTTGCTTCATCAGCCTCGGCTGCGTCCTTTCTGTGACACACACCTCTGCATGCACTGCTTATGCATCAGACACCTAATGGAGGGACAATACGGCATCGTTCTCAGGGCAAGCCTCTGCCCACAGCTTGTGCTCTGTGTGCTTCAGCAAGAGGTGTGTTTTCTCAGGAGGGGGTAGAGCTATGCAACCTCTGCATACCAGATGTTTGCTCCCACTGCTGCACCCTGCACTGTTCTCCTGCATCTCCAAACTCAGGTTCACATCCCCAGTTTTTCCTCCTTTAAACCTCTTCAACTTTCCATTTCAATCGGACACCCACAAGCCCCCAAAGGCAATCGCTCTGCCCTCAAACATAACAGGCTAACTGACCTCCCAGTGACCCTCTCTGTCTGCTTGGTTTAATTCTTTTGACCATAGGCCCTTTAGAACAGGAACAGTGTTCCCTCCAAGTTAGCACAGCCAGAACACCAGGGCTTTAACCTTGGACATGTCTTTAGACGCTACCAGAGAATGAACGTACTGCAAAGTAGACCCTGATACCGACTCTGCTGGAAAGGGGAAAAGCCCGTCAGACCACACTCGCTCTTTGTATACTGCGCCTTACTGAAAGCTAAGGCCCTGGCTTGCTGCCTAGTACAAGTCTCTGACAATTTCTACAGATGCTTAGAACCATTAAGGAAAAAAGTTTTTCCAGAGGGATTTCTGTGTTACAATTCCCTGAGCTCACTAGGAGAGCAAAAGGTCACCCCACGAGCTGTGCAGATTAGACTTTGCATATCAACCTCAGCACAGCTATGTTCATGCAAAGGGTTTTAACAGCAGCAAGAGACCTCCAAGCTAAAGGAATGCCACTGTTTGCAAGCACAGATGGCAAGGACTCAGAGAAGGAGTTGTGACTTTCTTCATTTGGATAAAGGGGTATTCAGTGCCAGGACCTAAAGAGGACCATCACACACTACAGAAAGCTAAAAGCACAAGTGTAGTCATCCAGCTCACTGGGTCACCCACTGCACCTGCCCCCTCTCTGTTCCCAGCATCAGTAATGGTCACCGAATGAAGCAAAGTGAAAACAAACTAACAGATCAACAGCTACTAACCTTTCCACTCTGACCAAAGCAACAATTTCTGCTGAACTTGTGACACATTCACTTACGGGAGCACAATCACACAACCTCCCACTTACCCGATTTCAGGAATCTCTCTTCTGCATCTGGAGAAGCAGAAACTTCAGAAACATCCGAGGAAGACAGCACCAGCTCTGGAAAATCTGAAGGTCCCTCTAGAAGTTGATCAGTGGGATCAGTGGAATGGGATCGTAGTTCTGACAAGGAGCACTCTGCTTCAAGGATGGGAGGGGACTCTTTGGTTGAAGATGGAGTTGAAACCAAAGAACTCGGCCCCCGCTGGGTATCTCTGTCAGGACTGCATTGTGCAGGAAGACCTCCTTCAAATTCAGACCTCACCACAGAATTCACCTAGCATAGTGAAACATGTTGGTGAAAGCTTTCATCCTGCATGGCACCGCACACAGCAACAACACTTAGCCAGCAAGAACGCGTCAAAAGCACACAGACCAGAGCCTCGGGGTAATCATCATGAAGAGCATGTTAGCCTTCACCCACCTTTTGCAATTGCTCCTGGCCCTTCTTTGATTTTTTCTTGGGTGCAAATAAGTGATCATATTCTTCTGCATATTCCAGAAGCCGTTTACTTGGCTTTCTAAGGCGTTTCCTCTCTGAATGTACTAAGAAAAAGGAAAGCAGCTTCAAGACTGTGTTTCTGAGAGGATCACAAGACAAAATTCTCCTCATGATCTGTAGGTAGCAGTTGCTCCTGCCTTCTCTTCCAGAGGCTCCATGTGGGAAGAGCCCCGATACTTCTTTCTCTTTGATACAACCTTATAATTTAAGCTTCCTATTTTCCACAATCCTGACATGGCAGGTGGGATTTTTAGGGACCTAAGGGACTTCAAGCAGTTCAGATAAGAAATCAAAAAGCATTAAATATCTGACTGAGAGGCTTCTGGAATTTCACCCAGCATCCCCCTAGGCTAACTACATGTAACCTTCTTGCAGCACTTTTACCAAAACCTAAGTCCATTAGCAACTCAGACTCATCATGCTACTTTTGCTGTTAACCAAAACTCCCTTGGTTTCAGTGCAGGGGCAGAGGAAAACAGTCTTCCCGTAAGGCAGTTCAGTCACTAGTTTCACTAGTAACACGTAAGCCTAAGTCCTTCCCTTCCCCTCCTCCCTGGCATATTTTTGTATATACTACAAGAGCCTCGTATTACCCATCTGCTACTGCAAGCCCATTTATTGCCTTTGCTTCCCAACAATAGATTCCACAATGAGATCAGGGAGTGAACAGTCCTCGCCAGCGACTGCAAGCTCTTCAGGGCTCAGATGTCTTTGTTTGCACAATGCTGCACCATCGCAAGGGAAACCCAGTAACAGGTATTTCCTCAGTACAAACCTAACCACCCATGCTGTACCACCTCAACACCCCAACGCACAGCAAGCTCCAAAAAAAGAACCCTGACACTCACGTCATCTCTACTCAGCAAGCTGCAAAAGCAAGATGATGCAAGTTTATGTCTTTTTCTCACTTCCTGGAATACCTCTGACTCCCCCCCCCCCCTTTTTTTTTTTTTTTTTTTTTTTAGTTTTCAAAATTATTAAATAATATTGTCAAAAGATTTCTCCTAGTCACAAAAACATTTGCGCTCTCCTGGAAGTTTAGGAAGAAACAGTAAATATTCTCTTTGTTTCTTTTCATGTGTAGGAGGTGGCTTTTTCTTCTTTAAAACGGAAACATTTTATAACAAAGCATTCCAGTGCAACACTTTAGAACAGGGATGTTGGACAAGATTGCTACACTTTATTGTGGCTTTGTGGCTAAACAAGCATGAAAACGTCAAACTTGGCCAAAAGAGAAGAAAGGAACAACTTTCTCAAACACAGCTATTTTCAGCCTCTATTAACGTACTGCACGGGTGTCTGGGTGAAATACACATTCAGCACATAACCAGTTATAGGCTGAGTATCCTCACTGGGCTACTATTTAGAGCCCCAAAGCCATGCAGCAGAGCACAGCACTGTGCCAGAAGGGCTGGCTTAACTGCATTCCCCCCTCCCTCCCCCCCCCAAGCAAATCCTGTACAAGAATCCCACATGCAGTCTGACTGGCACTGGCAAATCACATACCTGATGAAACTATTATTTATAAAAATCTTTTATGTCAGCAAATTCCACTAACCTTCACTTCTGCTTTATTTGCTTTAAATCACATCACAAAGTTTGTAGCAAAATTATGCTAAATGTTGCCATTCAACTATGATGAAGACTTCATCTAGTTTGAGTTTAGTGGAAATTACACAGTTGTGACTGCGATCTGTTGTGATCTTACACTGATACTCTGCCTGCCACGGACGAGGACTAGCCACATCTTCTCAAAGCACTGGCAAACGGAGGAAACTCCTCTTCTGTAAGCTGCAGTTAGTCTAACTTCCAGCATCATTCTCTCCACTTTCTATGTAACTGGCCTTGCTGGATATAAAAGGAAGACTGGTTTCCATGAATGGGCTTTTCGCAGCATTAGAGGTTTACTCACTACCACTAGCACACTGGGGATGTGACGGCAGTCCAGACAGCTCCTCATACAGAGACTCCAGTGCCTCCCTATGGCACATTTATATTGATACGCTTCAGGTGTGCTTCAAGGCTCACATGCTATTTAGGGCAGGGGAATTAGATTACACTGCAGTTGCTGATCTGTCACTTTTGCAAGCAAACCCAGGCCCTCACTGCATCCCTGTGCGCAGTACCAGGACAGCTTTGTGCTCCTCTCCGCCAGTGGCACTTTGCCCAGGAGCCTGCTGCCTTCCTCTGCCGCTTCCCTCCTCTTAAGGTTACTACCTCTTAACAGCTCTTCTTCTCTAACTCTCTCTGCAGGCTTGCATCTTCATCTCACGTAGCAACATTACAGTGATGCTTCAATTGCAAAACCATCATGAAGCCATGAGAACCCAGCAGCATCTTAGTGCAAACGAAGAACTCGCTCCCTCCGGCGGGCTGCAACACTCCTGCAGCAGAGCCTCAACAGCCCCAGAACAATGTGCATCCTCTCGCCTGCTCTGTGAAGACTTTAAGTCCTTGAAAACACGCAGCCACAGCCAGAGGAGTCAGTGAATGATTGAGCTTGTCATGATTTCAAACCACAACTTTTACCCCATGTGTTACACCCTATGGGCTCATTTTCTGTGCCTGCTGTGACTTGCCTTGGGCAGGTCCTATGACCACTAAGCCAGGAGCTGCCTCTTCCACACTGAAAGAGAGACGCAGGCAACCTCCAGCAATCAGTAATAGCAAAATGCACAGACCGAGACGTGCACTGAGGGAACATATAAGTGACAAAATGCACACAGGTTCAAAATTCTGTTAAGTTATATTAATTTATGATATTGCAAATAGATTAGAGCAATTTAGTTTGGCGAAATCTATTTAAAAATTTCATTTTGTTGTTTTCATTAAGGTTTGCTTCCCCAGATTCTTTGCAGAAGCCTGAGGATGGCATGTGTTGAACATGGTCCTGCTGGACCTATTCCTTCCACACACACACTTTTTTTTTTTGCTTTAACGAAATGTCCCCATCTCTGTGGGAGAGGCAGGGCTGTCTGAGCTTGTGGTCTTCAGAAGCCTCCTTCTTCTTAGGTCACTTCCCTTCCAGTGATGCTGCCTTACTTCTGCCTGCCATCTTCCAGACCCACCTCCAGCCCAGCCTCCCTGGCAGCTTCTGCCCTCTTCTTTTCTCCCCTTCATCCCTCAGGCAGCCACACCAGAGCTGTAAATTAGGAAATCTGTGGGGTTCCCCAATTCGTTTTATTAGCAGCTAATAAAATTCCACACTGAAACGCCAAAAACACCCCAATGCATTGTCTCAATGAAATCCTACAGAGCAAACCAAAGACAGACTCTATGTCAAACAGCACTAGGGAAAAAAAAAAAAGCAGCCATTGAGGCTGTTTCCCACAGCTTTCTAGCGCTGATCTATCCAGTTAACACCAAGCACGTGGCTCTAAGCAACACATTAAGGTATAAGTTTAAAAAAAATCCCAAACTCAGAAGGATGCTTATTTTACCTTTCACTGTGGAGGAACTAGTAATTTGTAATGTATTTAAACTTTCTAACCAAAAAGCTAAGCAAAATCCCTTAACTGCTCTGCCTTTTGCTCTCCGTGCTTACAGAGAACCCCAGACCAAGGTATCACAGTTTCTTCAGCTCAGAGGTATACATCTCCATGTTGTCAAACACCCCAAGTTCCATAACTTATGCTTTAAATGAAAAAGTATAAAATGTATACAAATACACACTCTGGCGCAAGTCCAGCTCCCTTACCTTGTGCAGAGAATTCAGACTGGGGAGCAAAGTTGCCAAGCTCTGTTTCTGAGTCCATCACACTGTTGTTTGGCTTACCACATACATTCAAACGTTTCTCAACTAAGTCTAAATGATTCTCATAGTCCTGATCTGTCAGGTCTCCCTCAAGCACCTTTGAATGAGGGGAATGCCTACGTCCCAAGCACTCATTTCCCTTCAGTGAAAAGCCACGAGAATTCAGGCCAAAGGCACTCTCCAAGTTTCCTTGTTCCCTAGATCTACTGATGTGCTTATTAGATCTAGCACTGCTTTGGTTAAAACGCTGCCATCGCTTTTTAGGTGCTACGTGATTTACATCATTAGACTCATCACCAAGAGAGCTCTCACTATTTGCCTCTGAATCCAAGTCTGGACTCTCCCCAGTTTCAGCAGAAGTGCAGCTCTCAATATTTCTACCAGCTTCAGGTCTCCTTCCAATACGATCTAAATTGTCATCAGATAAACAGGCAGAGTCTTCATCAGTTGAATGTTCTGTTAAATCAACAGACTCTTTCCTCTCAGTATCTTCTGCTTCATTACCTAGAGGACTGGTAACCGAACCGTGAACGCAGAATGCATGTTCTCCTGAATCTTTGGATAACCGACTTAACAACTTACTTGGCCCTCCTGGTTTTAAGTCCTTTCTGTTTGAAACTGTTTTATCTCCAAGCTTTGATGACTGCTTAGATTTTGAACAGTTGCGTTTGGACACGCAATTTGTGCCGTTTGTCCCAGAAACAGCAGTACTCGCAGGCTCCCTTTTACTAGTACCAATCCCCGTCAACTTGGTTGGAAGATTGCGTGAAAATGAGGAGTTGCTTATAGCTGAGTTTGGATTTACTGTTTCCTGGACACAATCTCCATTTTTTTCTATTTTATATGGGGGACCTACAATAGACAAGGACTTCAGACCACTCGCAGAATTGCTTCCAGAACCATCAGCTGTGCTGGTATTTCGAAATGGGACTATATTTTGACCAGTCATCAGTTGCTGCTCTTTTGTCTTACTGTCATGCATATCCTTCAACATCATTAACAAGGTGCTGAATTTGTAATCTGGCTCAATAGGCAAACGACCATGACCAGAGGCAGAAGAGAAAAGTAAGGGTACTGTGGCCTTTGGAGTGCCAGAGTCACTAGCATCATCATTCATGGACCGGTAAGACAGCTCCTTCAGCTCTGACAAGACGTGTTTCACCACAGCCGTTTCTATTTCAGCAGAATCCCTGGGTTTCTCATGCATGTTGTTTAGCAGTTTCTGACCATCAACTTTTCCGCTTCTCTGAAGAGAATCTCTCTGAAGGCCAGAGAAACCTTTGGTATCAGAAGAGCAGCGATTCATGCCACCCTCCTCTTCTGCAAGAGAAGGCTCCAACCGAGCAACTTTTTCTTTATGTTTGCATTTTATGCTCCTGATTCGGGACAATTTCATGCTTTTCGGTTTTAAGATTGCTTGATTTGCAACAGCAGGCCAGGAGCTGTCCTTGGAAACACTTTGGGGAATAGTG